GTTGTTGTTGTTGTTGTTGTTGTTGTCGACACAGTGATATCAGATAATAATCATGTTTTATGGGTGTTGTTGTGTAAGAGGCAAGGCTGTATAGTAGACAAACATGAAACGACAAGGTTCAGATGTTAGTGCTTTTATCCAGATTCCTGGATTAGATTCCAATGACATGCCCTACTGTTATTTATTTTGAGTTTTTAAGTTATTTTGATTCAGGGTCATTTTTATTTATTCAGTATAAGTCACTTTAACAGTCAAAACATTAAACAGTTCATGTAAATCAGTAATTTATTTTGTTAACTTTGTAGACTACTACAGGCAGTTAAGTCAAAGTGGAAAAAAAAACAAGAATGATAATAACTGCACAAAGATGGTACAATACAATTTTTGGTACAATAGCAGCATCTAACTTCCATTTTGTCCACTCTGATTTCCTGCAGGACCCACATGAACATGGATTTGCTGTGAAATTCAAGTCAGGTGACACATACGACATTGACTGTGAGCAACCTTGCACAGTGCTGGAGGCCTTAAAAACTTTAAATAAATATAAAAAGATGTTTACGGATCGACAACAAAATGTTATCATTCAGAGGGGTACAGGAGATGATGAATCAATTGTTCCAACACATTTTCCTTGTTCTTGTATCAGAGACGGGGAGGTTCTGACCATATCAGTTACTAAACTACAGGTAGAAAAGGCTACAGATGTCAGAAACGTGCATCCAACAGATTACTATTCTGTTTTTTACATTGATACAAAGGGAGGCCTAAATGTCACATCAACAAAGCTTTTCAGGAACACAAAAGTAGAAAATTTCAAGTATCTCTGTGTTTATGGAGAGAAGGAGATGAGTGTGGAGGAGGCTCTGAAAAGAGATGGTCGCTTCATTGATGAGCTTGGCTGCTTTGAGCTAATGAACATTAATGATGAACATATGATTGTGTGCACACAGAAGATTAAAAAACTGCACAATAAGAAATTCAAGATATGTTGTCCACGTAAAGTGAATACTAAAACAAATCAACAAGCCATGCCTGGGCAACAGAAGCAGCAGGTTCTTCCACATGCATCAACGAATGCAGAGCGCACAAAAGAAACAGGATCAGTCTTAGCTGTAGCACATCAGAAGGGAATCAGTCTAAAAACCGCAGAGAAAGAAACCAGCAGTGATGTTGATATAAATACGATTTATAAACAACTGCGTGAGCAGTTTCCAAATCTGAAACAAGTGATGGAGAGAAGATTTCCTGGTGAGACTTTCCAGGAAGAACTGAATCTCAGGAAGGAGAACTTTGGAAAGATCCAACAGTCCTTCAGCCAAGTTTACAGAGTCAGGAAGCTGCTAGAACTGGGAAAATCAGTTTGCAAAATCA